TTGGGGTCTGGTGTACAGCTTATTTCATCACCCAGGATAACTATGCTACAAATGAGCACAGTATTCGATAGGTACTTTTTAAATTCACCCTCCTTCCACACTCCAGCCTCAAGTAGGCCCTGCTATCTACTGTTCCCTTCTTTGTGTCCCTGTGTACTCAGTGTTTAGCTCCCACTTATAAGAGACGACATGTGATATTTGGACTTTTGTTCCTGCATTAATTCTCTTAGGATAGTGGCCACCAACTCCATCCATGTTGCTGCAAAGGACATAATCTCTTTCTTTTATATGACTGCATAGTATTCCATGGTGTATATATGCCACATTTTCTTTATCCTGTCAACCATTGGTGGGCATCTAGGTTGATTCCATGTCTTTCCTATTGTGAATAGTGCTGTGATGAACACACACATCACATATCTTTATGTTAGAACAATTTATATTCCTTTGGGTATATACCCAGTAATGGGATTGCTGGGTTGAATAGTAGTTCTGTTTTAAGTTCTTTGAGAAATCTCCAAACTTCTTTCCACAGTGGCTGAACTAATTTACATTGCCACCACCAGTGTATAAGTGTTCCCTTTTCTCTGCACCCTTGCCAGCATCTGTTGTTTTTTGACTTTTTAATAATAGCCATTCTGACTGGTATGAGATGGTATCTCATTGTGGTTTTGATTCACATTTCTCTAACGATTAGTGAAGCTGAGGATTTTTCCACATGCTTGTTGGCTGAGTATTTGTCTTATTTTGAGAAATGTCTGTTCATGTCCTTTCCCCATTTTTTAATTGGGTTTTAAATTTTTTGCCTGTTAATTTGTTTAAATTCTTTATAGATTCTGGATATTAGACCTTTGCCAAATGCACAGTTTGAATATTTTCTTCCATTCTGTAGGTTCTCTGTTTACTTTTTTGATAGTTTCTTTTGCTATGCAGAAACTCTTTAGTTTAATTGGTCTTCCTATTTGTCAATTTTTTGTTTTTGTTGAAATTGCTTGTGGAGTCTGTGTCACGACATCTTTGCCAGGGCCTATGTCCATAACGATATTTCCTAGGTTTTCTTCTAAGGTTTTTATAGTTTTAGATTTTACATTTAAGTCTGTAATTCATCTTGAGTTGATTTTTGTATACAGTGAAAGAAAGGGGTCTAGTTTAAATCATCTGTATATGACTGTCCAGTTATTCCAGTATCATTTATTAAATAGGAAGTCATTTCCCCATTACTGCTACTGTCTATCTTGTCAAAGATCAGATGGTTGGTTGCAGGTGTTTGGCTTTATTTCTAAGTTCTTTTGTTGCAGGAAGTCAGGGACTCCGAATGGAGGGACCAGCTAAAGCTGCGGCAGAAGAACATAAATTATGAAGATTTCATGGACATTTATTAGTTCCCCAAATTAATACTTTTATAATTCCTGACACCTATCTATACTGCAATCTCTGAACATAAATTGTGAACATTTCATGGACACTTATCACTTCCCCAATCAATACCCTTGTGATTTCCTATGCCTGTCTTTACTTTAATCTCTTAATCCCATCATCTTCTTTGTAAGCTGAGGAGGATATATGTCACCTCAGGACCCTGTGATGATTGCATTAACTGCACAAGCTGTTTGTAAAGCATGTGTGTTTGAACGATATGAAATCTGGGCATCTTGAAAAAAGAGCAGGATAACGGCAATGTTCAGGGAACAAGAGAGATAAGACTTCTGTCCGCCGGTGAGCTGGACGGAACAGAGCCATATTTCTCTTGTTTCAAAGGCAAATAGGAGAAATATCCCTGAATTCTTTTTCTCAGCAAGGAACATCCCTGAGAAAGAGAATGCGCCCTGAAGGTAGGTCTATAGACGGCCCCCTTAAGGCGGCCGCCTTTTACAGTCGAAGTCGAAGGGATGAAATAAGTCCCGGTCTCCTGTAGCGCTCCCAGGCTTATTAGGACGAGGAAATTCCCGCCTAATAAATTTTGGTCAGACAGGTTGTCTGCTCTCAAACCCTGTTTCCTGATAAGATGTTATCAATGACAATGCGTGCCTGAAACTTCATTAGCAATTTTAATTTTGCCCCATCTGGTGGTCCTGGGATCTCGCCCTGCTTTGTGATATTTTATTACCTTGTGAAGTATGTGATCTCTGTGACCCACACCCTATTTGTGCACTCCCCCCCCCCTTTTGAAAATCACTAATAAAAACTTGCTGGTTTTACGGCTCGGGAAGCATCATGGAACCTGCCGATGTGTGATGTCTCCCCTGGACACCCAGCTTTAAAATTTCTCTCTCTTGTACTCTTTCCCTTTATTTCTCAAACCAGCTGAGATGCTTAGGGAATAGAAAAGAACCCACAATAAATATCGGGGGTGGGGTTTTCCCTCAATATTCTCTAATCTGTTCCATTGGTTTATGTGTCTGTTTTCGTACCAGTACCATGCTGTTTTGTTTACTGTAGCTTTGTAGGAGTTTGAAGTGCATAATCTGATGCCTCCAACTTTGTTCTTTTTGTTTAGAATTGCTTTGGGTATTCAGGTGTTTTTTTTTTTTGGTTCCATATAAGTTTTCTTTTTCTTTCTTTTTTTTTTTTAATTTTGAGTTGTAGTTTCACTTTTGTTGCCCAGGCTGGAGTGCAATGGTGCGAACTCGGCTCACTGCAACCTCTGCCTCCAGATTCTTCTGCCTCAGCTTCCCAAGTAGCTGGGATTACAGGCACCTGCCACCATGCCCAGCTAATGTTTTGTATTGTTTTTTTTTAAGTAGAGATGGAGTTTCACCATGTTGGCCAGGCTGGTCTCGAACTCCTGACCTAAGGTGATCCACCCACCTCAGCCTCCCAAAGTGCTGGGATTTCAGGTGTGAGCTACTTCACCTGGCCTGGTTCCATATAAATCTAAGGTATTTCTAGTTCTGTGAAAAATGTCATTAGTAGTTGGACAGGAATAACATTGAATCTGTAGTATGGCCATTTTAACAGTATTGATTCTTATTATCCATGAGCATGAAATGGTTTTCCAATTGTTTATGTCATCTCTATTTTCTTTCCACAGTGCTTTGTAATTCTCATTGTAGAGATCTTTCACCTCCCTGGTTAGCTGTATTCCTGAGTATATTTATTCTTTTTGTGGCTACTTGTGAATGGAATTGTATTTCTTGATTTGACCTCTCAAGCTTGGACATTATTGGTGCACGAAATGCAACTCATTTTTGCACTAATTTTGTATCCTGCAACTTTGCCAACGGCTGTTTATCAGATGGTAGGAGTCTTTGGGCAGAGACTACAGGAATTTTGTAGGTAATAGAATCATGTCCATCTGAGAAGGGAGATTAGTTTGACTCCTTCTTTCCTATTTTTTGTGCTTTTTTTTTTTCTTTTTGGTGGGC